CAGCAGCAGCAGCAGCAGCAGCAGCAGCAGCATGAATCCCGCCTTCTCGCATCGATGCACATCACCACCGACCGCCTTGCACAGGGGCGCCTGGCAGGCCAGGGTGATGTCGTGGCAGCGGCGGGCGGATTAAAAAAAAAGGAAAAAGGCACCGCCAGATGTTGCCGTTGTGGTCATCTTGCCCGCAATCACACCACCTGCAGGAAAGGGCGAGAGAGAGAAGAAAAAAGGCACCGAGCTGAGCTGGAGCTGAGCTGAGTCCGAGCGAGCAATGCTGAGCTGAGCCGACGTTCGAAGGCGCAACCAGTGCGTGACTGCTGACAGCGACCAAACGCGCGAGTCGAGTGACTGATGCGGTGTCAAAGGGCTTTTTTTGGGCGAGCGAAAAAGGCGAACCGTGCCCCCCCTTCCCCTGTAGCTCAGCCACGAAAATCGAAAGCGGCAGAAGGGGGCGGAGGGGGGCGGCGGAAGAGTCGCGCCTGGGATCCGTCCCGCTCTTAGCTCCGCGCTGCGGTGGCTGGCGGTGCCCGCTTGCCAAAGCAAAAGCAAAAAAACACAGCACAGCACAGCACAGCACACCGAGCAAGCGCGTCTCTGAAAGCTCAGCACAAAGGTGGAGCAGCAATCGAGCAGCAGCGGCAGCAGGACAGCAGTGCCACCCGCCGTGGCGCTAAAGCAGAATCAACGCTTTGAGTGTCCGCTGCGCAGCAACTGCAGATACACACACGCGCCCCTCCTCCTATCTCTCCACCCTCAACCAACACGATCTCTTCCATCAACCTCTTTGACCGTCCACCACCACCACCTATTCCAGCACCACTACTTGCTACTGTACCAATCACAATCGATACCATCGCCACCGCGTCTGCATCCACACAAGTCTCACACGTTCGTGATCGCAGCCACAACCTACCTCGCACACCCCTCAACTGCGATTAGCATTCAGCCACCTCAGCTCCGCTTTTGGTGACACCTTCACCACCTCTCTTCCCCACCTACACTCGAAGACGGCCTCGCCAGCTTGAGAGTCGACGCAGCTAGCATCATGGCCGCCACCCAGGTCGCTCGCAACACCAGCTTCTCCGGCTTTGACGACCTCGTCAAGATGCCTTCCTCGCCCACCCTCCAGCCGTCGTCGTGCGCTCGAGCAGCCTCCTCGTCTGCCACCAACGCCAACGCCACCGCTTCCACCTCATCCATCGCATCGCCTTTCAACATGCGCAAGGTCGGCCTCGACGAGAACCAGCCGCCTCCGCCTCCCGGCTCGTCGCCCGAAGTCTTCTTCCGCTACTACCTCGCCGTCGAGCTCCGCAAGGCTGGCACCCAGCCCAGCGAGGCGCTCCTCGACAGGTATGTCCGCAACCACTTTGACAGCCTCTTCAAGAACAAGGCCGCCCCGTCTACCCCAGCGCCATCGGCTGCCCCTGCCGTCCCCGCAACGACTGCTTCGATCTCTGCATCGTCGTCATCTGCATCGCAACAGCAAACTGCCTCCACATCCGAAGTCACTGTCGCCGCCGTAGCACGACAACCGGCGCCCCAGCCCAGAGCATCTGCCCTCGCCGCACCCTCGGCAGACTCGCACATCGGCACCGCAAGCCCGCCCGAGCTGGACACTGCCGAGTCACCCGCACTCTCGGGTCGCAGCTACTCGCCCGTCGCCACGCCTCCCGCTCTCGGCACCATCGACGAGCACGAAACAGCGCTGGTCGACTTTTCCACCGTGTTTGGCGAACCGAGCTCGTCGCTGCTCACCGCACCCTCGCACGCCGCTGGCGCTTCGCACGCCATCAAGTTTGAGGACGACTCGGACCAGATGCTCAGCTTCTTCCGCACCTCGCCCTTCCGCACCACCGAGTACGAATCGGCCACCATCGACCCGCACGTGGTCGAGAACGGCTCGCTCGCCCAGCCCACTTCGCTCCAGTCGACGTTCGCCATGCCGTTCGACTCGATCAGCCCATCGCAACTCGCCTCCGCACAGGCCAACCCATTCAATGCCGTCGCCGCCGAGTCGAGCCTGAAGCACGAGCACTCCAATCGTGACGACTCTGCCGCGCCCATGTCGGAGGACGGCATGTCGGAGGATGACGACGATGACGACGAGCACGACGGCGAGCACCGTCGCTCGAAGTCGTCGGGCATGGGCAAGACGCTCAGCACAATTCCCATGGCGGTGGGCGACACCAACTACCTCAAGCCCGATCCGGAAGAATATAAGAAGCTGAGCAGCAAGGAGAAGCGCCAGCTGCGCAACAAGATTTCGGCGCGCAACTTCCGCACGCGCAGAAAGGAGTACATCAACCAGCTCGAGGACCAGATTGCGGACCGCGACGCGCTCATCGAGGGCCTGCGCCAGCAGATCTCGCAGCTGAGCGTGGAGAACAAGTCGCTCAAGGACGAGGTGCGCACGATCAAGGCTCGCACCATCTCGTCGCAGGACGTGGGCAAGATCCTGGAGGCGCTGCAGACCATGACATCCACCGCGAACCCTACCGCGGCTGCCGTCAACGTGGGCGGTGGCGTGGCGTCGGGTCGTAGCAGCCCGACCAACGAGTTTGGCGGTGCGCCGAGCGGTGTTCTGACGCCGGGCGCGTTCTTGAACTTTGGCAGCGACGCCTCGCGGCCGGGCACGCCGACGTTTGCGGTGCCGGGCTCGCCGCGTGCGCAGTCGCCGCGTCCGTCGCTGCTGCGCCGCTCGTCGCCGTCGCTCATGCCGCAGGCCAACACGAAGAAGGACGTGGCGCCCTCGAGCAGCTTCTGGGGCGGCGTCGGCAGCGTGAATGCCACCAACACGTTTATGCCCGTGTGCTGATGTCGCTGTTTAGTCGTCGCTTTCTTTGTCTTTTCGCATTAATGGTACATGTGATCGTATTTGCTCTTGGCCCGGATGTGCAGTCAGCCTCGGGGACAGAAGCGAGTGTGAGCAGTCAAGTGGCGCAACAAAGTAGGTCTGCGAAGTGTGTGCGGAGAGATGGGCCGCGGTGGGAGAGGTGCAGGCTAACATCGGGGCTGGGCGAGGACGATGGGGGGTTGGGGGGGGGGG